TACGCAAAGGAGGCTCCAGGAGGGTCCGCCACTACCTTTAAGGGCCTACAACGTACGCCGTAGGGCCCCAACACCAAGCAGAGCTTAAGGGTTAAAATAACGCTTAAACAGGCATGCCTGCTAGAATACTAGCAGGCGTAATATACATTTAAAGATTTAATAATTCACTAAATTCTATAATTTATATTACTTATTATATTTCGCTATATTCTTTATTAATACTAAAACTAAGAGATCTATTATTAAAAGTTTTAATTATTTACTTATACCACTTAGAAGAGACGTCATTAAATTAGAGTTTAGTTATCCTCTAGCAGGCACTAAGCCCTACAGTAAGGCCCAGCTAAGAGGGCGTCCCCTAGAGAGGGGACCCCCTAACCTGCTAAAGTAATAGTTAGGTATATTTATAAAAGGTTATAAAGCAGTAACTTAGTAATAATCCCTCTACTAGTTTACTAATAAAGACCTTATTATAACTTTTACTTCCTCTAAATAACTAAGTTTAGATAACTTTCTAGCCCTAAGTAGTAGTTACCTACCTCTCTAGGCTAGTCTAAAAGCCTTACTAAGCTATTTAATTAGTAGTAGTAACAGGCAGTGTATATAAAAGGTAGAGACGTAATTAACGTAAGCTAATAACTTGCGCTTACTAGGGATTCCTTATTAAAGAGCAATAATTATAATGCTTTATCCCTAGCACGACGGAGTTTAATAAGATTACCTAGGCCTTCCGGCCAAGGGAGTACTTACTGGCTCTGTTAGTGTAACGTGCGTGCGGCCTAGAACATCTAAGGGCATTATAGACCTGTTATTACCTTGCACTTCTATTAGCTTAAGCTAATAGTCCCTCTAAGAAGCTAGCATACTACTAAAGTAATATAGGCTATTTAGTAGGTTAAGGTCTTGTTTATTATTATAATTAAGCAGATAAATTACTCTACTAACTAAGAATAGCTATACACTACTACCTATAAAATTAAGAAAAAGCTCTTAATCTATTAATCCTTATTATATTTAGACCTAGTAAGTTTCCCTGTGTTAAGTTAAATTAAGCCACAGGCTTTACCCCTAGTGGTGCCCTTCTGTTAATTTCTTTAAGTTTTAGCCTTACGACTATACTCCCCCTAGAGCCTAAGCACTTTAATTTCTTGTAAGGTGCTAAATAAGTTAAAAAATAACATTATCTAATCCCTAGTTAGTATAGTTTATAGTTAAGACTATAACAGTATCTAATTGTCTTTAATCCTCTAACTTTTGTTCCTAATAAATAAAAACATCCTTAGTAAATGCTTTTATAGTAGTTAGTCTTTAATAAATCTAAGAATTTTACCTCTAATAATTAAATACTAATGCCCCTAACTGTCCCTATTAATTATTACAGTAGTCCTAGAAACTAATAAAATAGAACTACACGTCCTATTCTATTATTCTATACTAATATATTTAAGTATAGGCCTGCCTAAAGCACTCTAATTTTTTTAAAGTAAAAGTCCTACTTCCCTAGCACACCTAGTAAAGGGCATATGGTTCTGCAGAGGGAAAGGCCTAGCTAGACTAGTGCACGCGGTGAGGTAGACTAGCTAGCTAGGCCTAAGGTTCTACTACAAGCTTTTTAACTATAACAACTTTAATATACGCTATTAAAGCTAGAATTACTATAGCTGCTAGCACCAGACTTACCCTCTAATTATTCCTTATTAAGGGATTTAAATTATACTTATTCTAATTATAAGACCTAAAAGAGCCCTATATTAGTATTTATTGTCACTACCTCCCTATGTCAGGATTAGGTAATTTACGCACCTGCTGCCTTCCTTAGATATAGTAGCCGTTTCTTAGGCTCCTTCTCTAGGGTCAAGCCCTAACCCTCTGTTACCTGTTATAACTATACTAGAACACTACTCTAGTATTAAAAGTTAATAGGGAAGAAATTTAAATAAACTATTGCTAGCGTAAGGCTATATGATTTAAGAAGTTATTATAAATCACTAGTAAGCCCTAAAGGGCATTGGTTTTTAATCTAATAAATACACCTCTTTATAAGTTAGGGTTTTTAGTATATATTAGCTCTAGAATTACTATAGTTATCTATATAGTAAGGTACTATTAAATAAATAATAACTTATATAATAAGCTATTTATAGTTTTACTATATAATTACTTATACTTAGATATATATAGCTTAATCTTTAAGATAAGTATATAACTACTAGTAAAATTAACTAAGTAACTATTATAACGCTAGGGTTAGCTATTAGCGCTATAAGTAGTACTAAAGAAGTTTAGTTACTAGTGTTACTTACGCTACATAAATAGCGCTTACGCCCTCTAGGACGGCCGTTTAGCTAGGCTAATAACGCCCTAGGAGGCTTCTACCTTCCCCCTCTAAATTCCCTAGAGCGCACTATTTGCTATGCTATGCCCTATTAGGGGGTTACGTAGCTTAGGGGCCCTAAGAGGAGAAACTAGCCCTATAGCTTTAGCTATTTAGCGTCTATTATAGGCGTTTTTCTCCTGTTACTTTATATAAGTATAGCTAGTAGCTATTTATCTATAGAACCTATCCTTTAAGACTAGAGGCCTAAAGACCCCTAATCCCTCTAGGCAATCCTAGATTAGCGGTCTGCCTAGGCGGCCACTATAGTAGGAGGTAACTTCTACTATAAACTCCCCGCGACTGAGGACACTGCCCTTTAAGGCTGTTTAAGGAGACACTATGTAGTAGTCTTTAAGATATAGGACTAGTTACGCCGTATTTCTATAGCGTGCACCCGCTAAGGGGCAGAGTAGCTGCGCTATGCTGCCTGTTAGGGCCGCACTTACTCTCTTCTTATAGGCCTACTGACATCTTTTAGGCCCTTACCCTGCTCTACTAGGTTTTAGCCTAAAAAAACATTTCCTAAAAAAAAGATTTATATAGGAAAACAAAAAAATTGACTTATAGCTACTAAAACCTTATCTAATCCTGCACGCAGCCCTGTGGCATGCCCGTCGCGCGACCTCGCCGTCGCTATTACTAGTTAATTATAACTACCTAACTTTACTATTACTATTACTAGTTAATTATAACTACCTAACCTTACTATTACTATTACTAGTTAATTATAACTACCTAACCTTACTATTACTATTACTAGTTAATTACTTATGCCTACATGCACCTATATACACTGCCTTTTTCCTCTTCTAGGGTATCTTTTTTTTTTCTAAGGTACCTTTTTTTCTTTCTAAGGTGCCTTTTTTCTTTTCTAGGGTACCTTTTTTTACCTAACTTCTTACTACTATATCTAACGCTATAGGACCCTAACTACTACAGGCCTTACTGCTTTATAACTACCTTAGCGCCCTTTATAAGCCTATCTTACTAGCCTAGCTATTATATAACACCTCCCTATCTAAACGCTAGTTTTTTAAACTTTAAGGCTAGTTTTCTTAGCTGCTATAGGGCCTACCTAGAGGTAAGGTAGTACACTCTACCTACTAGAAGGCGCCTTATAGCCTAGGGCTAGGTGTAAGAGGCCTAGGGCTAGGGCTACTGTTAGGCACTTCCTCTTCTAGGGTACCCTTTTTCTTTTCTAAGGTACCTTTTTTTCTTTCTAAGGTACCTTTTTTAGCTTCTAGGGTACCTTTTTTTCTTTCTAGGGTACCTTTAGCTTCTAGGGTACCCTTTTTTTTTTCTAAGGTACCTTTTTTTTCTTTCTAGGGTACCTTTTTTAGCTTCTAGGGTACCTTTTTTTCTTCCTAGGGTACCTTTTCTTCCCCTTCTAGGGTACTGTTTTTCCCCTTTTAGGGTATCTTTTTTACCTAACTTCTTACTACTATATCTTACGCTATAAGGCCCCTACTACTATAGGCCTTTACTACTATAGGCCTTATAGCTTTATAACTACCCTAGCGCCCTCTATAAGCCTACCTTACTAGCCTACTTACTATATAACACTCCTATATCTAAACGCTAGTTTTTTAAACTTTAAGGCCGGTTCTTTTAGCCACAATAAGGCCTACCTATAGGTAGTATAGTACACTCTACTTACTAAAAGGTACTCTATAGCCTTATACTAGAAGTAGTAAGTCTAAAGCCTAGGTCTACCTAAGTAGACCTCTATATCTATAGTCTTTATTTAGTTTTACTTTTTAAAAGAAATATTCTTTATACTTTACTTTTTCTATATCTATTTATCCTTATATGCCTTATATTACTTTACTTTCTTTTTCCTCTTTACTATTCTACTTCCTTTTTCTAGTGTATACCTAATAAAAAAAAACCTCCCCTCTAAAAATAAGATACCTACCTAGTATCTTAATAAGAAACTTATTTTTTAGTACCCTATTTTACCTTTTTAAGAAGGTTCCCTTATATATATAGGACCTAAAAGACTACTTATACTCTATTACACCGCCTTATACCTAACCTATATTTCCTAATTAATTCCCCTTAGGCACTTTCTTTTCTAGGGTACCTTTTCCTACTAAGGGGCCCTTCTTCCCGTCAGTAGGAGGCCTCCCTAGGGTACCTTTTCTACCTAGAGCCCCTTCTAGGGTACCTTTTTCTCTTTCCAGGGTAACTCTAGTCTATACACCTAGCCGCCCTCCTGCCCCCCTAGGGCACTTAGGCTCTTATAAGCGGCACTTAACCTCTAGTATCTTTTTCTAGGGTACCTTTTTTATTTACATAAGACTTAGCCGCACCGGAACGCCGGCGCGGCCTTGCTTATTCTCCTAACTGTCCGGTTGCCTTGCGCTCTCCTAGCTAGAGGCCGTTAAAGTTTATAAGGAAATTAAGGCAAAGGAGGGCTTACCTTTAGCAGATTATAATAACAAGGCTACTCTACTACTTACAGGACCCTTTTATATATCTAAGTCGTCTGTAAAGGATTTAACCCCGCTTGTGCTAAAATTATAATTCGCAAAATACCACTACTTGCTTTAAGAGCAGTAGAAGAATTACCTGCTAAGACGCTAAGCTAAAGCCTATTTATGTCTGTCTGTACGTATAGGAGGTATTATTATATTCTAGTATAGATTCTAACTTAGAGGCGTTTAGCTATTATCTAGCAGATAGTAGCGTTATAGCACTACCTAGTTAGACAGCCGCAAAAACTAATTATCTAAATAAGCAGTTCCTCTTATACTAAGCTTAATTACTATTACAACAAGGTTATTAGTAAGGTAAAACTAACCTGTCTTATGATAGTCTAAACCTAGCTTACGTTCCTTATTAGTAGGTAAACAATCTAACGCTTACTAAATTATGCTTTAGTATAATAAGAAGAGCTAATATTAAAGAATTAAAAAGCGACATTGCTATAAACGCTTAGCCGCTATAAGCCAGTTATCCCTATAGTAACTTTTCTAGTACCTCTAGCCTTAAATTTTAAGAGACTAAAGAATTAATAAGCCACACTTTCATAGTTTATATTTACACTAAAAATCAAAATTAAAAGGACTTTTACCCTTTTATTCTACTAGAGATTTCTATTCTCTATAAGCCCCCCTTAGGACACCTGCGTTATAGTTTAATAGATATACCGCCCTAGCTAAACTCCCTACCTAATAATATCTTTAACCTAGGTTAGCCCGTAAAGGACCTTAAAACTAGAAGTTAGACGTAAATCTAGCCTTACTTTATTAAATAAGTAAAAAAACAATAGGAGTAGTAGTATTTTACTAGCGCTAAAGCTCCTACCTATTCTACACCTCCTATATCTTTTTATAATATTAAACTAAAGTTAAGCTTAATAGGGTCTTCTTTTCCCACTAATTCTGCTAAGCCTATTCCCTTAGCTATAGTTTCGCTAGATAGTAAATAAGGACAGTAGGAATCTTATTAATCTATTTATACACGTTACTAATTAGATAATAAGGCATTTAGCTACCTTAAGAGAGTTATAGTTACTCCTGCTGTTTACCTACGCTTAGTTAAATTACTTTACTTTAATATTTAGAGCACTAGGCAGAAATTACATTACGTTAATACTACTTTCTAGCTATTGTAATACTATATTTTAATTAGATAGTTAGATTTCCCTTGTCTGTACTAGTTCTAAGTTAGTTATTAATCGTACGCTAGACGGCTAAAGCCTACTAAAGGCGTTAGAACCTAGATACTAAAAGCCTCTAGCTAGTTACCTAGCTAGTAGTAACCTACTCCCAGGCCGTCCGCCTAAAGCCTAACGTACCTAACCCTTAGAGCTAATCCTTATCCTAAAGTTATAGATCTATTTTACTAACTTCCCTTATCTATATTATTCTATTAACTAGAGGCTGTTTACCTTAGAGACCTGCTGTAGTTATAAGTACGACCTAGCGTAAGAATTATTCCTTCCTACGGATTTTTAAGGGACGTTAAGAGCGCACCGGACCTAACAGAAGTGCTAGGCTCTTCCGGCCGTTAAACCCTAGCTCTAGACAAACCGATTTCAAGGTAATAGACTGTTAAGAAGAAAAAAGAACTCTACCTAAGGCCCTTGCCGTTATCTCCACGTTTAGTTACGTTGCCGCGCAAAACCTATATCTAGGTGCTAGAATATTAACTGGCTTCTTTTTTGCTATACAGGGCATAAGTGCCTCTTTAAAACGGAACTTCCCTATAGCTTAGGATTAACTAACCTATATCTAACCGCTGTTTATATAGAACCTTTCCCTACTTTAGTCCTTTAAGTTCTTATTAAAGTATTTACTACTACTACTAAGATCTACACTAGAGGCCGTTCTACCTAGGCTTACGCCCTAGGCTTTGTCACTAACCTCTACGTCTACCTACTCCTTAGCGTATTGTTTCTACACTAAAGGTAAGGTATAGGTAAGTTACTTAAGCGCTATCTATTTTTAGGGCTAGTATATTTAGCAGGTAAGTTATTACACAGTCCTTAGCAGATTCTAACTTCTATAGCTACTATCCTGCTGTTAAGATATACTAACACCTTTTATAGTGTCTAATAAGTAACTACTCTAGCACCTTAACCTCGCGTTTAGTTCATCCTGCATCGCTAGTTCTACTTACTAAAAATAGCCTACTAGTGTTAATATATTTAAATACCTACGTTTAATTAAGTAATAAAGGCTTCTTATATATTTAAAGTTTAAGAATAAATAAAGGCTATATAGCGCCCCTAAGTCCCTAATTATTTGCTTTACCTTATAAAACTAAGTTTAATACTGCTATCCTAAGGGAAACTTTAGTAAAAACCAGCTACTAGAAGGTTTAATTAGTCTTTTGCCCCTATACGTATATTTAACAATTAATTTATACGTTAGAACCGCTATAAGCCTCTACTAGAGTTTCCTCTAGCTTCACCCTATACACGCATAGTTCACCTTCTTTTAGGTCTAACCCTATATACTCTTACTTAAATCCATCTAAGAACATTAAGATTAGTTAATAATACGCTAAAGCTCTTACCTGCATTCACTTTTATTACGCATAAGGGTTTAACACCTAAACACTTGCACATAAGGTTAACTCCTTGGTCTGTGTTTTAAGACAGGTCGCTAATAACTATTACGCTAGCATCCTTATAAACGTATACCTTAGCCTGCTAAAAGGTATTATATAAGGGGCTATAACACTCCCTAAAGAGAGCTACGTTCCCTAAGCTTTTATCCCTAACAGCAAGCTAATACTAGCCTATACTAGCAAAGTGCCCTAGCCGCAAGAGCTAGGTAATTTACTAGGCGTAAGTCTAGTCATAAGCGCTTCCCTTTTAATAATTTTACATACTGTTTAACCCTCTTTTTAAAGTGCTTTTTATCTTTTAATTACTTTACTTATGCGCTATTAGTCTCTAGCTAATATTTAGCTTTAGAAGAAATATACCTCCTATTTTAAGCAGTATTCCTAAACTACTTAACTTATTAAAGAAGCTTTATAGAGGCTTAGTGTCTAACCGTATAGGGCTCTTACCCTCTATAGCGTCCCGTTCTAGGGAACTTAGAAGGCACCGCGCTAAAAGCATCCTCTACAAATTATAACTTAGGCCTAGGGCCAGATTTTAAATTTAAGCTGTTACCGCTTCACTCGCCGTTACTAAGGCAATCCCTATTAGTTTCTTTTCCTCTGCTTATTAATATACTTAAGTTTAGTAGGTATTCCTACCTAATCTAAGGTTAACTAGTTAAAAAGTTAGGGGTTTTATAGCAAGAGTCCCTCTAGATCCTAATACAAGACGTTAGTTACTACGCAAAGGAGGCTCCAGGAGGGTCCGCCACTACCTTTAAGGGCCTACAACGTACGCCGTAGGGCCCCAACACCAAGCAGAGCTTAAGGGTTAAAATAACGCTTAAACAGGCATGCCTGCTAGAATACTAGCAGGCGTAATATACATTTAAAGATTTAATAATTTACTAAATTCTATAATTTATATTACTTATTATATTTTACTACGTTCTTTATTAATACTAAAACTAAGAGATCTATTATTAAAAGTTTTAATTATTTACTTATACTACTTAAAAGAGATATTATTAAATTAGAGTTTAGTTATCCTCTAGTAGGCGCTAAGCCCTATAGTAAGGCCTAGCCAGAAGGGCGTCCCCTAGAGAGAGGACCCCCTAACCTACTAAAGCAACAGTTAGGTATATTTACAAAGGGTTATAAAGTAGTAACTTAGTAATAATCTCTTTACTAGTTTACTAATAAAGACCTTATTATAACTTTTACTTCCTCTAAATAACTAAGTTTAGATAACTTTCTAGCCCTAAGTGGTAGTTACCTACCTCTCTAGGCTAGTCTAAAAGCCTTACTAAGCTATTTAATTAGTAGTAGCAACAGGCGGTGTATATAAAAGGCAGGGACGTAATTAACGTAAGCTAATAACTTACGCTTACTAGGGATTCCTTATTAAAAAGTAATAATTATAATACTTTATCCCTAGTATAACAAAGTTTAATAAGATTACCTAGGCCTTCTAGCTAAAGGAGTACTTACTAGCTTTATTAGTGTAATATACGTGCAGCCTAGAATATCTAAGGGTATCACAGACCTATTATTACCTCACACTTCCATCAGCTTAAGCTAATAGTCCCTCTAAGAAGCCAGCGTACTACTAAAGTAATACAGGCTATTTAGCAGGTCAAGGTCTTATTTATTATCGCAATTAAGTAGACAAATCACTCTACTAACTAAAAACAGCTATACACTACTACCTACAAAATCAAGAAAAAGCTCTTAATCTATTAATCCTTATTATATCTAGACCTAGTAAGTTTCCCTATATTAAGTTAAATTAAGCCGCAGGCTCCACCCCTAGTAGTGCCCTTCTGTTAATTTCTTTAAGTTTTAGCCTTACGACCATACTCCCCCTAAAGCCTAAGCACTTTAATTTCTTATAAGGTGCTAAATAAGTTAAAAAATAACATCGTCTAATCCCTAGTTAGTATAGTTTATAGTTAAGACTATAACAGTATCTAATTATCTTTAATCCCCTAACTTTTATTCCTAATAAATAAAAACATCCTTAGTAAATACTTTTGCAGTAGTTAGTCTTTAATAAATCTAAGAATTTTACCTCTAACAATTAAATACTAATACCCCTAACTATCCCTATTAATTATTACAGCAGTCCTAGAAACTAACAAAATAGAACTACACGTCCTATTCTATTATTCCATGCTAATATATTTAAGCATAGGCCTGCCTAAAGCACTCTAATTTTTTTAAAGTAAAAGTCCTGCTTCCCTAGCACACCTAGTAAAGGGTATACGGTTCCACAGAGAGAAAGGCCTGGCCAGACCAGTGCACGCAGTGAGGCGGACCGGCCAGCCAGGCCTAAGGTTCTACTACAAGCTTTTTAACTATAACAACTTTAATATACGCTATTAAAGCTAGAATTACTATAGCTACTAGCACCAGACTTACCCTCTAATTATTCCTTATTAAGGGATTTAAATTATACTTATTCTAATTACAAGACCTAAAAAAGCCCTATATTAGTATTTATTGTCACTACCTCCCTATGTTAGGATTAGGTAATTTACACGCCTGCTACCTTCCTTAGATATAGTAGCTATTTCTTAGGCTCTTTCTCTAGGGTTAAGCCCTAACCCTCTGTTACCTATTATAACTATACTAGAACACTACTCTAGCATTAAAAGTTAATAAGGAAGAAATTTAAATAAACTATTACTAGCGTAAGGCTATACAATTTAAGAAGTTATTATAAATTACCAGTAAGCCCTAAAGGGCATTAGTTTTTAATCTAATAAATACACCCCTTTATAAGTTAGGGTTTTTAGTATATATTAGCTCTAGAATTACTATAGTTATCTATATAGTAAGGTACTATTAAATAAATAATAACTTATATAATAAGCTATTTACAGTTTTGCTATATAATTACTTATACTTAGATATATATAGCTTAATCTTTAAGATAAGTATATAACTACTAGTAGAATTAACTAGGTAACTATTATAACGCTAGGGTTAGCTATTAGCGCTATAAGCAGCGCTAAAGAAGTTTAGTTACTAGTGTCGCTTACGCTACGTAAACAGCGCTTGCGCCCTCCAGGACGGCCGTTTGGCTAGGCTAATAACGCCTTAGGAGGCTTCTACCTTCCCCCTCTAAATTCCCTAGAGCGCACCGTTCGCCGTGCTATGCCCTGTTAGGGGGTTACGTGGCTTAGGGGCCCTAAGAGAAGAAACTAGCCCTACAGCTTTAGCTATTTAGCGTCTATTGCAGGCGTTTTTCTCCTGTTGCTTTATATAAGTGTAGCTAGCAGCCATCTATCTATAGAACCTATCCTTTAAGACTAGGGGCCTAAAGACCCCTAATCCCTCTAGGTAATCCTAGATTAGCGGTCTGCCTAGGCAGCTACTGTAGTAAGAAGTAACTTCTACTATAAACTCCCTATAACTAAGGACACTGCCCTTTAAGGCTGTTTAGGGAGACACCATGTAGTAGTCTTTAAGATATAGGACTAGTTACGCCGTATTTCTATAGCACGCACCCACTAAGGGGCGAAGTAGCTACGCTATACCGCCTGTTAGGGCCGCACTTACTCTCTTCTTATAGGCCTACTAATATCTTTTAGGCCCCTACCCCGCTCTACTAGGTTTTAGCCTAAAAAAATATTTCCTAAAAAAAAGATTTATATAGGAAAACAAAAAAATTAACTTATAGCCACTAAAACCTTATCTAATCCTATACGTAGCCCTATAGCATGCCTGTCACGCGACCTTACTGTCGCTATCGCTAGTTAATTATAACTACCTAACCTTACTGTTACTATTACTAGTTAATTATAACTACCTAACCTTACTGTTACTATTGCTAGTTAATTATAACCACCTAACCTTACTGTTACTATCGCTAGTTAATTGCCTACGCCTACGTGCACCTGCATGCACTGCCTTTTTCCTCTTCTAGGGTATCTTTTTCTTTTCCAGGGTACCTTTTTTCCTTTCTAGGGTGCCTTTTTTCTCTTCTAGGGTACCTTTTTCCACCTAACTTCCTACCACTATATCTAACGCTATAGGACCCTAACCGCCACAGGCCCTACTGCTTTATAACCGCCCTAGCGCCCTCTATAAGCCTGTCTTACCAGCCTAGCTATTATATAACACCCCCCTATCTAAACGCCGGTTTTTTAAACTTTAAGGCCGGTTTTCTTAGCCGCTATAAGGCCTACCTAAGGGTAAGGTAGTACACTCTACCTACTAGAAGGCGCCCTATAGCCTAGGGCTAGGTGTAAGAGGCCTAGGGCTAGGGCTACTATTAGGCACTTCCTCTTCTAAGGTACCCTTTTTCTTTTCTAGGGTACCTTTTTTTCTTTCTAGGGTACCTTTTTTAGCTTCTAAGGTACCTTTTTTTCTTTCTAGGGTACCTTTAGCTTCTAGGGTACCCTTTTTCTTTTCTAGGGTACCTTTTTTTTTCTTTCTAGGGGACCTTTTTTAGCTTCTAGGTACCTTTTTTTTCTTCTTAGGGTACCTTTTCTTCCCTTCTAGGACTATTTTTCCCCTTTAGGGTATCTTTTTACCTAACTCTACTACTATATCTACGCTATAGGCCCCTACTACTATAGGCTTACTACTATAGCCTATAGCTTTATACTACC